GATGTTGCAATATAAAGAGAGCACGTTCTCACCAGGAGAATGCAATGAAACGACGCCAGGGACGACGAGAGCAAGTCCACCACTTCGCACGACTCTTCTATCTCCTTGAGGATCATGTCTTCGATGGCCGAGAGCCGGCGGTCACTCATCGCAAAGCCAAGGCACCGGTCTGGGCAGACCACTTCTACACAGCTGCTGCCCATTGCAACAATGCTGTCCATCCACAACACCTGGCTTTGTTGCTGACCAAACAAAAGGAACAATGGCCACCCAAATCGCAGCAGAGAGGAAAACAAGTCCACCGAATCGACACGTTTATAGACGTTTAAGGACCAAGGCTGCGAGGGAAAAAGAGTGTCCACTGGCAGATGACAGAACTGCCAGTGATCGGAACAGGTGTGCTCTGCCGACGTGGCGAGCTGACAGGAAGGAGGCTTTCAGCCGAGTCCCCACTGCTTGGAATGCCTCACTCCTCGACTCTTTACGAGCAGGGGGAAGAATGAGGAGGAGGAGAGAAAGGAAACACGCAAAGGAGCCCTGCGAGTGTGAGCAGCTGTCTCCACAAAACAGCTGTTCCCACAGGCCACACACAAAATGGCAGGGCAGCGCCGTCCTGCTGCGATGAGGAGATGATGACGAAGTGCCTTAGACACGCTGAAACTGCAAAGATCAGTATTTTTGTTTTCCCCCTTGTTTGGTGCGGACCGTGCATGCACATATGCACAAAGAGACTTATAGGGCAGGTGCAAGCCGCTCGGGAAAAAGGAGCGAGCAGCCTGGAAATATGCCTACCTGCAGCTATGTTAAACTACAAAAGGAAAGTGCCCTTTAAAGGCACATTGCTAGCACACAATAGGATTTAATAAAAATTGTCAAGGCTTTAATATCCCAAAACAACAATATGATTATGATAGTTCTGGGAATCAGACTCCTGGTTTTCCTTAATGTGCACCTAAATCAAAGCATGTGGGCCTGTAACTTTTTGCCTCCATTGAAACGCCACTGCCATGGCCAGAACACAGATTTTTAAGCATGATTCTGAGATGAAACATTTTTTATGTATTCAATGTTCTAAGTTGATCTACAGCCCGAGTGTACAGCCTTTAGGTGTTTACGTTTGTTTCCTTAGCAGGCGAAAATTTACTTGCTATTCTCAACTGATCATTTCAGATGGATGACCGAAGAGATGGTGGCAAAAGTTGGGACCTTTTGGTTCCATTACTCTGTGCCAGCTTTCCGCGCCCCGGCTTAATTCTAAAGCTACTACTATATTTTTTTCTTACTGTTTCTTCCGAGATGCATGTGAGCAGAAAATACCATATGTTGTCTCCTTTCTAATAATGTTCATTTTGCACCTTGATGTTTTCATCATGACAGTATAAACAAAATGCAGAAGCTGATTAAAAAAAGACAAGAAAGAAAGGTTAAACAGTTTAAACCACTTCAGCATATACAAACTATAAATGCAAATTTACGTTAACCCACACTGTAGCATGGTGAAGCCCACATACAGCAACCTTAATAACCAAGGCTAGACGACTACTGTACCAGCTTGCGAGAACGTGTAGCTAAATGCTGTTGCATGAGCTGCAAGCATACAGCAGGTGTTTCGGGAAGTAACGAGACAAAAAACAAAAACATGTAGAAGGTGCACGAAGACAGGTGCTATACACGAGTGCACACAAGAGCACACTGCAAAGACCGGGTGTGCTCTAGAGTCGGCAATGAAAACAAATAATCATAAAATGAAAGCAATACAATGCAGAGCTTCGCAAGGTATCACATTTCGCGATAAACGGAGACAAGTGCAGAGCCATACACAAGAAAGAATACGACAAGAAGCTGATGTACTACATTTCGGTCTAGAAATCAGGGTAAAAGTGAATGGCCTAAGCATAGTAGGCTAATTCTGCCGCTGCTAGATTTGGCAGTTATCGATTGTTCTATTATAAGAAGCTTCTCACGAGAATTGAAAACGCTATACGTGACGTTGATAAATTAGAAGCTGTATCAAGGTACAGAGCAATGCACGATGAAAAGCATAGCTGCATTCAAGTTAAAATGCATCGCTCAAAAAGCTGGCCAGCAAGGCACAATTGTTGCAAATAACCTGAACTGTGGACTAAGTGTGTGAACCTTCGCAAGCTTGAAATTTTTGGCGTTTGTTCTTGGAATATGACAGCACCTAGCAAATTACCCCCCCCCCCCCTCTCCAAAATGGTGTGGTTTTTAATCTAAGCACTCTTTTATAGTTCAAAGAACAAACACAGGCAGTGCGATCTATGTAAGTGTTAACCACAGAAGCTTATAAGATGACATTTTGTGAGGAGAGCATTATATGCACAGTGAACTCCCTTTGAAATATTTCTTTTTTTCTTCCTACAAAAAGCTGATGAAGGGAAAGAAAAAGGGCATTGCAGCTTCAAATGCCTTGGCAAAATTGGCTCTGCAACAAATGAATACGCTGCCTGGTAAAGGACCCAAGTTTTTAATGATTGACTAAAAATTACACTTGCCTACACTTACACTTGCCTAAAGTTCGCCCCTCCAGACCATTCGTTCAGCAGTTAACAGCTGCAGAGACTTACAGAGCTGCATTTGTAACAAACTATGTCCACGTAGTAAACGCCTAACCATAAGTGTGCACCATATCATCCTACCAGAAAAAGGTCGGTCAAAATAGAAAAATGGTACGACATGGTACATGGCCTACTCAAGTTTCGTGAAACAAGTTCAGTCTTACTTCACACTGTAGTGGCGGGACATGCAATAACCCTACTGTTGCTATTTCAAATAACACTTGCCTCCCGCATGCATGAGTCTTTGCTGAAGTAACTGTTGGAAAATTGTGCTGGCCTACACAGCACATCCACCAGGGCTACACAGAAGGCAATGCACAATGCAGACAATGCTACCGAGAATAGCAGTTAGCAACAAAAAAGCTAGCTTAAACAATTGGAGAAATGCACTACCGAAAACACAATTCATCACTGAGGACTCCCGACACAAAAGCGAAGCTGCAAAACATTTGTTTTCCCCTTCAGGCTTTCAACGTCACAAGTCCCACCAATAGAAATTTATTTTCGAATGACGCACTTGTCAGCTTAGTGTTATGAAAATACCAGGTTAAGCTCACTAGTGAATGTTCAGGAACAAATACTGAACTAGGAAGAGTATAGACAACTTTCTACCAGTCTTTTAGCTAGCTAATAACTGCAACCAGTGTCACTTAGTGACAGACTCCCTATACACCAGAACCCAGCGAGTTCAGGGTGAGTTGCCATATTTAGGGGGCGTGTTGCGCCATATGTTGCAAGTACCATGTGACTACTCCTCCACATGTAAACCTTTGTTGCATATACAGAAGGCTGGGCAGTATCGCACGATTTATGTCGGATATACGTTTCAGCGTCGATTCCTGCAACAATTGTATCTATAAGTTATGAAATGTTTTTACGATGCACCTCACACACCGTTATACTCTGCAGTATGATAAAGGAAAGAAGGGTATTTAAGGCTCGTTTTCTTTCTTAGACAATATTAATGAGAACTTACAGACAGGTGGTATGACAAATTTGTTGTTGAAAGTCAGCTTATATTCTAAGAGACATAAGACCTACCGTCTCCCCCCCCCCCCTTTTTACTCAGCCAAGCAAAAGTGCACTGTCAATCGGCTACACAGGTAAATCGGTAGTGCCCCCCCCCCCCCCTCCCTCCAATTATGGCCTGCATGGTACAGTGCCCCGTGCCACTGATGGCAGGACAGAATTTATATATATATATATATATATATATATATATATATATATATATATATATATATATATATATATAATTTGTATAAGCCAGCTTTTCCGCTATGCAGTTGGCCCAACTAGTGGTGGATAAGCACTTTTGCAAACAGTGTGTTCAAACACAGTTCATCTGTACTATATGTCACAGAAAATGTGGACTTTGTCCCCTTGATGGAAACAATGCAGAATAGGCAAGCCCCAGCACGTGCAAATGGCACCTCTACTCAACTTCAATCACGACAGGTGCTGCCATTAGACCATTAGATGGGTGAATGTGCAGTGCATGGATGGTAAGCTCAATTGCAGATTGTGAAAAGGGTATTTAGTGGGGGTAGTATTCTTGAATTCTGCCAAAGAAAGTTTCTGCATCTTAAACCTGTACAGCACTGCTAATTTTGCTATATTTGCGGAGAACTTTTTTTTTTTTTGCAATGAAGGAAGGGCTATGGAGTGAAACTGCTACTGCTTAAGAGCATAGTCCCACCATTGCAACTGACTAACGAACAGGGCCCCATTTGACTGCTTAGGTTTGGTTGTCTAATTATATCTGATTATTATTAAGCCAAGTATAACACTGCGCATCCCGGACATATCGCGGATATAAAACTTGCCGATATAAACTTTTCACATAACACAAACAATGTACCATGAAGTAACCGCAAACGCTGCACGTTTGGTGATGCGTGCCGCATACTTTATTAAATGGCTTTTTGCTTTTTTTTTTTTTACTGTGGTTCTTAGACCAAGCTTGTCACAGTGGCTTCCTACTGACCTTTCGCTGGCTGACATTGCCATAAAAGAGAAGGAAATCCGAAGTTCGGCCTAAAACACGCCGAGTTGTTCAACAATGCCACTCATCCATGCACCAGCTTGTACACTCTGTGCCCTCGGCACGCTCCAGAAAGGAGGAAATCGCCGATTGCCAGTCGGGTCCTCCTCGCCCAATAGAACTGTCTATACACAACTATTCATGGTTACACTCTCTCCTATTTTCCTCACCTTAACTTCCATTTTGTTATTTTTTCATCACTTATTCAAAGTACCTGCAGAGCCCGAAGGCATTATTGCAGGGCGGAATACACATGGTAACATATGCTTCCGCTGTGCTTTGCAAAGCTCTGCAGTGGTTTGGGCAGTCGCTGGTCCCGGACATAGCTCAAGACTAACTACAGTGAAAACATCAACTGTCCGTCATCCGGCACTCACCTCGCTGTGTGCGTCGGAGAAGGACAGCGCCTGCGCTTGGCTCTTGTCCTCCGATACGGACTCTTCGTTTTGCACAGCGTCGGCGGTGCTGGGTGACGCCGCATCGTCTTGCCTCGTTGCGGGCTCTCCAGGCAGCGTGGGCGCCGTCGAAGTCGTCGTCGCGACCGTGCTAACAACCACCTCGTCCGCCGGAGCCTCCCATTGCGTCGAGTTCTCGAAGGAGGCGTCTGCGGTCGAGGAGTGCTGCGCAGCCAGCGATAGCGCGGCCATTTCTTGAGCGAGAAGCGACGAGCTGGGCTCGGAGCCGCTCTCGCGGCGCGCCGGCGACACCGTCGAGCTTGGCGGCGACGACTGGCCGAGCAGCGAGTCCACCGACCCGCTGGGACTAGCCCCACACAACGCGTCCCGATCAATCGCCGTCGAGTCGTCGCCCTCGGGCCTCTGGACCGACGTCGGCTGCTCGGGAATCTCCACGGTCAGCACCGCACACGGCGCCGGCTGCTCGCGCACTGCCGACGTGACAACCACATCAACGCTGTTCTGCTGCCGCGCTGGTTGGGACGCATTGCACACCTTGCCGCTCGTCGCGTTCGAGCACGGCGGTTTCGTCGTCGGGCCGCCACCAGCAGTCTTTGTTGTCGTTGCGGCCATCGCGGCAGGACACCGCGAACTTTTGATGCGGCTGTTGCTGCCCTTGAGCTTCGTGTCACCCGCTTTGCTGCCGTCCCGGAGTCTCATGTCGAGGAACGGCTCGGGCGGGGGACTGCTATCCGGCGCGGGCGGCGACGAAGACCTCAGCACCTCCTGGTCACCGCTGCTCGCGGGGGCGGCACTCCGGAGGTCAGCCTCCTCACCCTGGTCGTCGCTACCGAGGAGGCACGCTGTGGTTTCAGAAAGGGAGCAGCACTCAGAGTTAGAGGACCTTCTGAAGCGGCGCCTCTTGAGCAGGAAGAAGGAGAGCAGAAGAGCGAGAGCCGCGGCTGCCGGAAGCGTGACAGCAGCCGCCCTCGGCCCCAGACCGGCCATGGACTGGCCTCGCGGGCCCGGACCAAAGGTTGCCTGCCAGTGGCCGCGGCCTGGGAGCGAGCAGAGAAGCAATGCGGCACAGGTCAGCAACACCCCTCCGCCAAGCAGAAAAAAGGAGCGCGTGCAACGCACACTGCGAGTACTTCATAACTTACTTCTTGCGCAATTTTTGGACGGTCTGTGTTTCGTCGTTTGCTTACTTGCTTAAAAACTTACTTGCTTAAAAATTTTGCGCAAGTAAGTTATAAGGGAGTACCAACTCGAACGTTATTAGAGATCACGCGCGAGGCTTAAAGGGACACTAAAGTGAAACAATGAAGCAGTTCAGACGAAAAAATTGCACTCTGAAAATTCTAATGACGTTAATTTCACTATCGTAGCTTCATTAACAGAGTAGAAAATCAAGGTTAAAGTTGCATTTTTTAATTTAGCGCCGAATTCCTTATGCGTGACATTACGGTCCTCAAAGCACATTTTTCGTACATGGGCGACGTCGACGTAAACGAAACTTCCGGAAACTAGCAATGAGTTTATGCCCTCCTCAAGGGTACATGAATACTTTGTTTTTTTTTTTACGATTAGAAAATACATAGGACCTAGCGGGCGCCGACCTCATTTTAGTTACGCGCGTTTTATCGCGTATACCAAACGTCTTACAGCGCCAAGCATGGCTATTTCCGTGCGCTGAAAGAGTAATTTACTAATACGCAAAAAATAATTGTGTTCTTCAATGTCCCTTAACACCTTTCGACACCTGCGGCAGACTGGAAATTAAAGGAAGCCACCCAAGAATGTTAGATAGCGACAGGAAAAGAAGTGCCACCGTCCTGGAACAAAAGAGGGCAAAGCGGGCCATGCACCGACGAAAGAAGCCAGAGAAACACAGACACCCAAGGGCAAAGAAACGCAGGCGAAATCAATGGCTCGCAAGAGGTGTGCACGGGCAGACATCAACACAAGTTTTTGATTGACATGTGCGGTTTAACGTCCCAAAACCACCATATAATTATGCGAGGCGCCGTAGTGGAGGGCTCCGAAAATTTCGAACCCCTGGGGTTCGTCAAACGTGCGCCCAAATCTGAGCACACGGGCCTACAGCATTTTTGCCTTCATCGAAAATGCAGCCGCCACAGCCGGGATTCGATCCCGCAACCTGTGAGTCAGCAACCGAGTACCCCAGCCACTAGACCACCGCGGCGGCACACATCAATACAAGCCAATATAATTGTGAAGAGTTCAACCGTCATGGCGTATTCGAGGAGTTCAATTTGAAGCAAACTTTTGTTTACCTCTTGGTAACCTCGGTCCTGGACGAGGAAAACGCCGGCCACTAGTTGATTATGCGCACTATGGCACCTTTTGTTCATTGATCAGCTTCACACGGATCGATCAGTAAGAACCGTAGAAATGGCGAGAAGAAGAACTGCTTGACAAATCAACAAATGGAATTCGCCGGAGGTCCTATAAGGTACAGAGGTTTTACGTGGGCGTGTTCACCGCTGTATTAGTGAGCAAAAACAGTCACAAAGCGATCAAAATGAAACTGCTACAAGACGATTTAATTACTGTCGCAGGTCTAAAATGCTGCAAGATTATGGTATCAACTACGTGCCATGTAGGGGCTGTGCCAAGGATTGGCTGACCCCCTGGCCGCTTCTAAAGAACTAAGGTGTGATCCCCCCAAGTTAAGTTTTGAAGTTGAGCGGCTCAGTGGCAGTGCATTTTGATGGAGTTCCATGCCTGCACGCACATCATAAGGCGATTCTGCTGTCCCTGAAAATTAATTTCAAAATGAAATTGAGCGAAATGGCCACGTCACCACAAGATCATGATCAGTCCAGTCATTCCCAACTGAGCAACGACTAGCCGTATAATACGGGGTGTCTCCGAAAAGCGACAACAAGCGAGTGCACGATCGCGTTTCATTACGAAGCAAATTGCCAAATGGCGGTATCTCTCTTCACCATGGTGAGACAGTCAACAGACTGACTGCTTCAGCAGTTATATCATCAACAAAGCAGGAGATGCATCTGTCGAGAAACTCTCGGTCAAAGTATACTTGCCGCCGAGTTAGCTTTCCTGGAAGCGCGTCGTTTCATCAGCACTAGCTGATCTCACTGCCTTTGCAATTAATTCTCCCTCGATAGCTTTAGAGCTGTGTTTTGTATCCCTCCTGTGCCATCGTTTTCACTTCACTGCAGGCTCCTCACAATTTCTCGAGTGAACGTCGAAAGGACACGACAGCAGCAGCGATCCTGACGGTCAAAGCAGCTGCCAGCAGGTCAAGCGGAGACATTTCGCAAGTGCGGCCGACCACACGTGCTCACAGTCACCGGGTTTCACACAATACGTTAATTACTCAGTTCTCGCCAGGCGCAGTCCTGGGCTTGAGTGTTCGAGAAAATGGCTTCAGCTCTTCTCCGTTTATCCTGCCCAGCGGTGCAGCGCAGTGAAGTAATTACAACGAAATCGTGCTACGCTAAGTCCCGTTGACGCGACTGGTGAAGCGCGCACAAACAATATGCGCACACTATTAAATACAATCTTCATGAACTTGGTCATTATGTGCGACACTAATTAGCTTCGAGAACCTTGAACCTCGATTAAAATATTAGCGTTCAAGCGCACCGAAGTAATCGCCTACACATCGGAAGTGCGTACGAGGTGGCTTAGCCAGCATCGAAGGCGAATGCATGATAAAATCAATCTTGCTGAATGTAAACAACGCTACCACAAAACACAGGCGATACGCGTGTGTAAACTGTTTTTTCCGTTGTAGCCTCGACGGTGATGAACGATAGTAGCTTTGCCGCATCAAAAATATTACCCTGCACCTCATCAGCGAGCGACATTTGGATTTGAAGCACACAGACCGAGCGGAAAGCCGCTATCGGAACGTCAATGAAAGGCGACTACAAAGATAATAGACAGTTGTAGACCGTGATAGCGGAGATTAAGGGAATGGCGATACCGTGCAGCAACCGTTCGTTGCGGACAGAGGCTTTTAGTTTGGCGGGATAGCATTCACGTGCCCCAGTTGGGATGGTGGCGCCACCTATCGAAGGGTTAATAAATTAAAGAACAGTGAAAAGGAAAAGAAAACGAGGGTGTTTGCCTATGCAACCGCGCGAAGAATTGTTACAAGTTTATTTTAGTAGTAATAAAAGTAAATAAGTGTGAACAACAAACCAAACGCGAGAACATTTATGTTACCGATTTGTTTGCATCAATCTTGTAGTTAGGCCTAGACCCGTTCGAAGTGGGAAGCTATCTGAAAAACTACGCCAACGTATCCGTAATACTCGGTCGTCGAACTGAAGGCAAGCGAAGCCGCTTGAAGCAATCGTTTGCTGTGAACAAAGTGAATCTTTGAACAAGTACGCCAAAATCCATCCGAAACGGGCATCCGAGAGCGCCGGCAAGTTTTACGTACACCTACGCTAACATGGTTACATTAAATCTGAAAAAATAGCGCACGTACGGTAAGCGGTACAGGTAACGTACGTATGTACCCTTGTGCACTTCAGTCCCGCTATCACGGTACGCCCGGTATCCCGGTATGCTACACGCCTAGCCGAGTCAAGGTAGTTAACAATCCTCAACACGAATATGGAACAAGTCTGTCTTGACACATTGAAACCATTAGGTGTACGTAGGCGGTTGACGCGCGCTTTAGTGTATATATATATATTTCAGAAAGAACATTAGCGAACGAGAGACGAAACATCATCAATTATTTTTCGTTGCAAGTTTGCCAAGTGTTCGTTGATTTGCAAGAAATTTAGAGAGCGAACACACACAGAGCCCGTGTAAAAGGTTAGGGACCACTATACGCGCAGTTAAAAAAAAAAGCGTATTTTGCCACTTTCGCCAGCCAGCTGTGATTTGAAATCTGCGTCCTGTTCTAAGCCACTCTAACAGATGCTGTGAAGTTCGACCAAATGCAGCCACAAATTTCGGGCAATTTCAAGGTTTTGTCACACCTATGCGAGGCCTATGGACATTCTACGCCGACTGTACCCCATTCGCATCAGAAAAAAAAAAAAAAAAAACGCGTACGCATCTTAGTGACACGTTGTGAACGATGTGAACGAAAGCGTACCCTGCAAGGACGACGACACCCGGGAGAGCTTCATAAAAAACAAAAAAGGCCCGAATATACATGTTACACGGTAAATGTCGTCGAAAGACGAGTCTTGCGTCTGGAGAGAGTGAACAAAACGTTTATTTGATGTTCTGCGCAAGAAAATCGGTGAATGGTATTCTGAAGGCGCTGTGTTACAGTGCCTCGCGTCTAGAGGAGGGGAACAAGCGCATCTAGGCACGTTAGACACAAGCGCCATCTGACAGCTATCTTCGAAAACGAAGGCGCGCGCGACGGCGGAGAAAGATGCAAGCCAGTCTCGGAGGTGATAAGGTGTAGAATGCAAAGCGACGGGCAGGTGCCACCACCGTGTCGTCGTAGCAGAGCGTTGGAAACACCTTCTTGAGCATCGCGTTGCACTGTCAGCGCAGCGCGATAAAAGCTACAGTCCTTAGATTTACTTGCCTGTGCCTCTTCTAGTCTAAAGGGAGATGTACAAAACATAAACGTGCTGTTATGGCGCCTCAGATATGCACAATATTTGCTTTTTTAATTGACAATCGCACAACTATGAACGCTAAACCTTGAGCAATATTGGTGGGCGCTGCGGATGGGGTTGGCCGTTTGGTGCCATTTAAGGTATCGTTAGGGCAGACAGACAAATGTACAGATATACAGACAGACCAAAATTTTTCCGTCGAAGGTCCCCAAGAAGGACTATCGTCTTTAAAAAAAAAGCAATCGCTGCAGACGTGCAGCAGCAGCCGGCCGGAGCACGATAAACGTCTCGGCTCGCACCCGGAAAGAACGCAGCGAGCGACTGCGCAACGGTTACTGCACACCTGCGAACCCGCGGGATAGCAATTCGAGCTTCGCTGCACGATGGGATTTCACTTAGGGCCGCAATTTCCTTGGTTTCTCCCGCCTACTTCGCAAACAAAGCGAACTCGGCGCGGGGCAGATAAA